TGGCCCCCAACAACATTGTGTATTAAGGGAAGGTTATTTGCTTTGCCATGTTTTTCTCATAATTTTATATTTGACCAAAAAAACAAAAAAACACAAACATTCCATCTGGGTAGCCAACAAAAGGATATTATGTGTTCGTTGAATTTTGTTACATATCATAAGCGCTTTTGGAGCATATACGTTCACAGCAAACGTAGAAAGTTGAAAGAGCGTAAAAGCAGCGCAGAAGATGAGAGCAGGAATTGACACAGCTTTAAAGCCCCAAAGGATACTTACCCTTAGCGCATAACATATGTATATATATATGCTTATACATATATATGTATATATTACGTGTACGTTTATGTATGCGTTTATATGCGTGTCCCCCCGCTCCATCAATTTCGACAATTTGTAACTTCGTACATTTCCCACCTGCGTGCGAACTGCACAGCTGCCAAGCGTGTTAATAAATCACTGCCCCTGTATGTAGGATAGGCCCAACGAGTTCACGGCACCATATACTGGTTCACGCAGCACGTGGCACACCGCCCAGCATAAGCGGAAATTATTTCCTGCGCACAAGCATACCACGCTGTTGTGGAATTATATATATAGTTGTACACATGTACGTATATGCACACATTCCATTTTTACGTGGTCACAATTTTATATATAATTAAATAAGGAAACTCGTTGTGTGCGACCCGCTCGACGTGCCACAACATAGCAGTCTCTATAGATGAACATCTGTTGACAGATAAGGACGCCTTCACTCATAGCAAGTAATTTATCCTTTAAAATTTGCAAAATTTTTGTTCCCCCATGTTGAAGTGCGCAATGCGAGTGTGACATGCAGGGGGGCTTCTTATCCTACACTTCAACTATTCTATCTGCGCGTGTGTATTTTTGCGAGGTGCACTGAATCATGCACATGTGAGAAACCCGCTTAACGCGCATAACTTCTGTACACCCCTACCCAACAGCATGAATGAAAATGAAAGGTTGAAAAATATTTTAGATGAAAAGGAGGAAGTGTGTGAGGCCCAGGAGGAAGAAGACTCACTTGTGGAAAACAAGGAAAAGAAGTTCGAAAATATTTCGAAGAAAAATTTGGAAGTGCTAAAATTTCTGAATAAACAAGATTTGATGCTATTAATTGATAAACTGGGCCATGATGATGAGCTCAGCAAAATAATAGAGAAGGAAATTAAGCAAGACACGTTGGAAATTCTGAAAAATGTAAGGGGAAATAAAATAAAATTGTTGTAACGTACATGAGGGAGTGCCTACGAGTTTAGGGTTCACCTCTCTTGTTGTTCATCCGTTTGTGCATATTTATTTGTGTGGATATGTTCAGAACGGTCATGCGTTTGTTGTGGTGCGTAAACCGGCCTGTTTCGCACTGCAGCGTTGTGGACCAGAGTGGGGGAGACATTACCCCTGCATGAACATGCCAATGGGGTGTGTTGTATACGTGCTCACTTGTTAACGGATTTATTCCGAGCAGACGGGAGCAGAATTATGCACGGATAGTTCAATGATTTGTTTTTTTTTTCTTTCTCCCTTTCACAGTACGAAAATGAGCAGTATGACACGATAATGCTGGACGAGAAGGACGGAAAGGAGGATAAGGAGGAGGAAAACGAAAAAGAAGAAGAACATGAAGAGAATGAGTACCTGAAGTTGAGCAAGTTTATTCCATTAAGGCTAACGTATGAAGAGAGGCTGTACCTTAGGCTGCTGGAAAGTACCTTGGAAGTAAGCGAGTACACGGACAAAATAGACGTATTTCACAGTGGAAATAAAAGCAAGAAAATAATAAAGGAAATTAAAACCCTATGTTCTATACTGTCCGGATTGGTTATTGCAAATAATTATGAAAATGGGCAGAAATTAATTCGAGATAGAGATTTTCTAAGGAACAGTAACTTTTTCAGTATTGTTTTTGAAATAGGGAGACGTTATAAAATTTTGAACCCAGACAGGATGAGAAGTAGCTACGGAAAGTTGATGTACTTTTTAATGGATACCCGAAGAGAAGAAATATATGATTTGTTATCATTTAATTGTGTAGCACCAATAAAAACTGTGTACGATTTATTGAAAGGGAAAAAAAATGGACTCGATATTCTAAATGATAATTTGATCAAAATTGCTACCATGCATATAGACGCAAAGGGCAGCAGGAGTGAAATACAAAAGCAAATTAAACAAAAGGAAGAAGCTATAAAATATTTATCAAGAAAGTATGCAAGCAATAGCAGCCAAAATAGTAAAAAAAATATATTCAGAATTAATATTCCCATTTTTAATAATCAAAATAATGAAGATGATGATTCGAATAATGCAGAAGAATTGGAATATTTGTCATCTGAAGAAATTGAAAGATGCCTGTACAGTTTAAGTGATTATAATACACATATAAAAATGTTTTGTGAGCCTTGCCAAATTATGATTGATTATTTAAAAACTTTTTATGACCCCTATGAGAAGAATTGTTCATATTCTTTATCCATCGAATCGGGGAAACAAGGAAGTAGACTAACGCACTCCCATAATAGGCAGTATATGTACGTTTTACAAACGTTATATTTGTGGAAAGAGATAGGGGAACATATGTTTTTCTTGTGGGCATGCGCAGAAAATGATATGCTAGATTTTAAGAACCCCTACCGATTGATGGACACAGGGCAAGGACTAAACCGGATGCAGAGTGGCCACAAAGTGCTGAGTGTTATGAAGAAAATTTTGCACAATGTTCAGAAGAAATTGGGAGGATGGGTTGGCTCTAGCATGATTCACATGGGCGACACCAACATTCCCAACACGTTTATGTTTATCGACAAGTACACGCAGGTGAGTCCTAACCCCGCAGAGAGAGGGTGCATAAAGGGGCATATAAGTAGTGGCACTTTGTATAGTGTAGATGGCACACATAAACGTTTCATTAAAGAGAGCCATTCTGCACCATGTCTATTTTGTATTGGTATCTTATGCGATACTTGTTATACGTGAAGAGAAGGGGGGCACCCGGCAGAACAAAAAAATCATACCTGCTTCTTCCCATCCGTTCCCTTCCCCTGAAAGTTAACACCCCAATATGAATTACTAACCCTGCCCATTTTTCTTTCTTTTTTCCCCCTTTTCAAGGTCCCAAGGATCCTAACACCAATCGTCCTTTGCTTGCAGAAAATCGATGAACTCTATAACTCAACAGCCTCGATGAAAAATTACATCAAGACGGAATTCAACGGTGCCCAAAATTTGAAGTAAGAAAAGGAAAAAAAAAAAAAATAGGGAATAAGAAAACGTGCACCATGTACCCAGAGAAGCAGTGTAGTGTGTTGCTCGTAGTGTGGGACAATTGCTTATCGTGCTGTCCTACCACGACTGCGCCGTGTGGCCACTTCGCCACATTATCCTCCTTCACACCTTTTCCCCCACTTTCCCCCAGAATGATGATCACCTCCGATTTCTTTCGCCATGGCTTCGACGGAAGTGGTGGTGACAACTTCAACGAAGCAGGAAGTTGCATCGATGGAAGGCTAACCTCCGCCTGGAATTGGTGTTCCAAAATTGAAAAGAAAAAATACTTCCCCATATTTTTGTTAACCGGATTTATTGGTTTCGATGGATCCTTTTAGGCAGAGCCAAGGAGGAAATAAAACAAAGCAATTACCACTACAACCACCATCAACTTTGTCCTTCACCTTTGGTGAATTTTCTATTTTGTGTATCTTAGGCATTTCCATTATCTTATTTATATTTGTGACGCGTCCCGTGACGTATCCACCTTGTCTCCCCGTTCTCCCGACGTTTAGCCTAGAGCACACAGTTGGTGGCCTTTTTGTGCTGCTTTTCCGTAGCGTTCGAACAGCTTCCCGCAACGACGGAGCAGTCTCCTTGAACCCCTTCACACTTTATTGCCTCCATTTTTACCCCTTTGTCGTTTTCATTGAATGAAAAAGGATATGCATATAATAATCCCTCCCCTGCCTATTTATACACGCAAGCCTATCAGCCACCTGTTTTATCTGCTTCTCATTTGTGCTTGTAGTGTGTCGGCTTCTCACTTGTGCGCATGCGTGGATGGGCGTGTATAAGTTAAGCATTCCCTGCATTTTTAGTTGTAACAAAATCCACGCTTGTTGTGCACGACGATGAATTTTTTTTTTTTCCCGTTGGGTATATTCTGCCTTTCCTCAATTCAGTCTTTTTTTTTATTTTTAAAACGCAGTTGTTGAAATGTTAAAAAAAAGTAAAAACGAAAATGAACAAAGAATGCAAAATAAAGAACAATGAATAGCCTTGATCGCGAGGAGCAACGGCGACAACAAGGTGGCGTATTTTGCAGGCGGGAAACTCCCCGCGTCTGCGTCCATATGAAATCTCAAATGTTGGCTAACAAAAAAGCGAAAAAGCGCATTTTCGATTAGCACCTAAATGTTCATACAGTTAAAACTGATAATGCATTTTTTTTTTTACCATTTTTCATGCCCCCTTTTGAAAAAAAAAAAAAAAAAAAAAAAAAACGACCTGGTTAAATGTAACAATGCTGTATGAAACCTTACAACATGTTGCATCATATATATTATATATATACATACCATTTTTAGTAGATTAATTTTTATCGGCACTTTGACAAATTTTAAGGGACATATCTGTCATTTTAGCCAAAAAAAATTATTCGCATTTTTTTGTATATTTGGGAGAAAAACTACGCTATAAGTCCATTGCCTCAAATTTGAAAATATAGCTTTGTGACAACGTTTTTCCTCAACTCAGTTGTAGAAATTTTGCAAGCGAGTCGTTTATAGAATGCATGGAAATTTTATTATTCAAGCATATTTTTTCTCTCGCTTTTGCATAGAAGGCTAAATATACAAATGTTATAATTAACCATAATAGGGGCAGCATAACCCGCGTATAACGCCGTTGCATAGAAAATTCAGCAAGCGAGAAAACGTAGCATTAGGGAACAACTGTTTGAACGTTCGTCACCGCTCAAGTGAACGAAAATGGACAAGGAAAATCCCAAACTGGTAGACCAGCACCTGCTGGAAAAAATGAAGGAGACCATCGAAATGTTCGCCCAAGAGTCCACATGCACAAGTAAGGAAGCATTTGAAGATGATAAATATGCGTATAGCTTAATTGATAACTACAAAAGCAGGAAGACGAAAAATGTCGTTATACACATGCTAAAAAAGGATATAAATATTTTGTACTACAATGAAGAATATAAAAATATAATTTTTATTAACTTTTTAAGATTGTGCCAATTGAATAATTTAAACGTAAAAAAATATCATGATATGTTTTTAAAATGTGATATTTTTTCGTATATTTTGAATTCGGAAAAATACGTACATGTTTTTTTAAAGTCAATTATAAATAATGATAAATTGTTGTGGGATGTTAATACAGACCATTTTGAATTCGTTTCCTTTCGCATGGGTAGCAGTACACAGAATGAAAATGGCGAAACGGGAAACGTCGCTGGTTATTACGAAGACAGCTGCTACATATTAGAAGAAGGGCAAAAATTAAAACTGGATGATCTTGTAGAAAATTCTTCAGATGATTGTGAATCTTCCCAATTTAGCGAAGACGAAATGTCAGTATCGTCTGCCTTTTCGGAAAAGTCCCCACACGTGATAAGCCGTTGCCCAATGATGAATGGCTACTTGCCCCACCCCTGCACGGGCACCAAATTGAAGGAGTGCTTTAAGGAAGGAAATGCCTGTGTTGCGAAAAAGGAACACATCTTTCAGAAGCAACTAATAGGGCAGGACGAAGCCGCAGTGGAGGGCACAAATGGCAGTATCAGCGCCTTGCAGGAGGAAAAGGCAAAAAAGAGCGATGACACTACGTGGAAGGAAATATGCAGAAATAGCCACGCAGCGAACTGCACGTCCACCCTGAACAATATCAATTTGAACCACTTGGTAGACACAATTGTGGACGGGGGTGAATGGGGTGATGAGGACACCTCCAAGGGGGGGAGGAGTAACAGGAATACCAACGGTATGCAACAAAAAAGTAGCTTGCACGAATCAATCATAGAAAAATATGTGACAAAGTCGGAAAATGAGCATGACGAGGTGCTCAATTTGTATAAAAAGATTAACAGCATGGAGAAAATTATTAAACATTTAATTGGAGAAATAATGAGGAGAGATATGGTAAGAAAGGCGCATCTTGGAGGAGTTTGCCCAAGAAGAGTTCCCGTAGGAGTAATACCCATCGAAGAAACGCAAGAGGCGAAGCAAAATGACACCCAGAATAACCACCAAGGGGAAATTCCCCCAAAGGATATGACGAGTAGCACGAGCAAGGACTGTGGCGAATACGCAGAAGACACGGACAGTAAATATTTCGAAAGTTACAACAACACAGGTATACACAGAACTATGATACTAGATAAGAGCAGAACAAATTGTTACTACGAATTTGTAAAAAAAAATAAAGAAATATTTCAAAATAAAGTGGTTCTGGACATAGGGTGCGGGTCTTCCATCATTTCTCTGTTCTGTGCTGAGCATGCGAAAGTTGTTGTCGGAATTGACAACGCCCATAGGATATTAGCAAAAGCAAAAAAAATAACGGAAATAAATGGAGCCAATAATATTTACCTATTTGAAGGAAAATTAGAACAAAATAATATTTATATTGATGAGAAGGAAGAAATACACTACATTAACAACAAAGAAGACTTAGAAAAATATAAAAAAATTTACAATATACAAAAGCTGCAAATTCTAAAATTTGATATTATTATTTCCGAATGGATGGGATATTTTTTATTTTACGAATGTATGATAGACACCATTTTGTATGCCAGAGATATGTACCTAAAGGAAAATGGCTTGTTGCTACCAAATAAGGTTTATCTATACCTAGCGGGTTATAATGACACAGAATATATAAATGAAAATTTTTTAATTTGGGATAGCCCACTGTATGGAAAAGACCTCTCTGAGTTAAAACCCAACTCGAAGCATTTTATGGAAAATGCAAAAGTTATTAATCTAGATAAAAATAAAGTGTCTACTGAAGTGGTTAATTATGCCGTAATAGATATGTACACATATGGCAAAAATGAAAATGTGTATATTTCTTCTGATTTCAAAATTGTAGTTAATAATGGAAAACTCGTGACCAGTTTGTGTTTTTATTTCGATTGCCACTTCGAACCGCATAGACTTGGTCCTGGTGAATCAACTGACAGTGCGCAGAATCTTCCCCCCACTGGGGAAAAATACACAAATACCATTTTGACGACGAGCATGTTCAAGGAAGAAACGCACTGGAAACAGACCCTACTGCATCTGCACTGTCCAAATTTTGACATCGCTAGTATATCTGCTCCCGCGGAAGGGGAACACCCAAATGAACTGTCCGGCAAGATATTCATATCGCCGGCCGGTGAACACTCTAGAAATGTGACCGTTCTTTTGCAGATAAGAAAAAATGAGTCCATGAATGTGAGCGAGGACTGGACGTGCTGGTACTCCCTCGATTGAACAGCGCGGCGTAGCGGCAACAGACGTGAAAAAAGAAGATCAGCCGAAGATATCCTCCTACACATGTCCATATGCACACCAAACAACATATGCTCGCCCACATGCGGGACACCTATTGGTCACCGTAGCTGTTCGTCATTCCCCAGTAGGGAGGTAACCTGCTATCCCAAAAGATAGACCCAACTTTACCTTTTTCCCCCCTTTTGTACCTTCTTCATTTTGAAACTACATCTTAAAAAAAAAAAAAAACACCTATTAAATTCCCCCCTAAGCCGCTTCTTAATTCGGCATATAAACAGACATAAAGTGAACAACACTTAACATTTTAAAATGTTATTTTTTCCAAATTCGAACTGCGCAATGTGAAGGCGCGAAGAAGTTAAATGTGTAAAAGATCCATTCCGCCATGAATTGCTCATAAAAAACAGAATGCACGACGAAAAAAATGAAAAAATAAAAAAATAAAAAACATCCAAATTAATGTGCTTAAAAGTACCAACAAAGGTTTATTGTTCATATACGTCAAAAAAAAAAAAAAAAAAAAAAGGAAAAAAAAAAAATGTTTTAAAATCATAGGCAAATATAATGTTCGCTTTTTCATTTAAACAGAAAAAGAGAACATGTTTAAAAATGAAAGTTAAAAAGTGCAGCGGGGCTGGACGTGTAGAGATGGGAAAGAAAAAAAAAAAAAAACAAATAACGTAGGGGGTAGAAAATGGGTAAAGAGTGGCCAAGGAGTGATTCAATTTGGCTGAATAAGACTAAAGAGTAAATAAATAATGACTAAGAAACGAATACCTATGACTAAAGGTTAGCTAAGAAGTTAAAAACTAGAGGCGGATGAAAGACCGCCCCTTCTAGTGGGTTGGCCCCTCGCTGCCGTTAGCTGTGCAAAAGAGCTGCAATTGCCCATGACAGGACAAACGCACACATACGGTTTTAATCCAACTTGAAGAGATAAAAGAAGACGGTGAAGTTGGCTAAGAACTCCTTTAGAATATTATCCTTCTGTGGTTTCACCAGATTTGTTTTCTTGCCATAGAAGAAGTTTTGCAAAAAGACTTCATTGTTGTACTTGGTTCCCGAGCCATACTTTAACAAATAGTAGAAGTAGTTCCACTTAATATTTTGAGGAGTATTAAACGTCTTTACGTCACCTGTACGCGCATAGCTATTTTTTTTGTTGTAGACGTAGGCGAATTTGTCAAAGAAGTAAATGAAAGACTCGTAGGGTTCATCCCCATCATTTATGTTGAAGGCGCTTCTGAAGTTCTTATTCTTCATGATGCTTCTAATGGCCCGCATGTAGATGTCGTGGGCGCTTTTTAAGGTGTCCCTTCTGAGCTGCACTGGCAGCGTCACTTCTGTGCAGAAGACGTTATCGCTGCTGCGATTTTGTGCGGTACTACTGTGGGCCGAACTGTTCTCATTTTTCTCCTTTTCTTTTTTCTCCATTTCCTTTTTCTCCTTTTCCTTTTTGCGTTTTTCCTTCTTCTCTCTTGCCTTCTGTTGCCTTGCCCTCTTCTCCTTTTCCTTCATTTCGCTTTCATTTCCGCCTTCCTTGTTCGTTCCGCTTTCACTATCAAAGCTCATTTCCGTCTGGTCATCCAGGCCCAACTCCCGCTCCAGTTCGTACCCTGCTTCAACGACGTCTTCACTGCCAACAACGTGGTAGCTGTCTATGCTATCAAGGCTATCGGTACTGGACGTGCTATCTGGATCTCGATCCAAGTTACTGAAGCTGGTGTCCATGCTGCTAGGACTCTCATTCATGGCCATAAGATCATTAGGGTTGTCACTTACTCGGTCATCGCCCACATTTTCCACAGTTTCCATTTCTGCGCTCTCTGTTGTAGATTGCACATGCTGCTCATTGGAAAACAAATTTTGAATAAGGGGTTTCTCTGGAATGATAAAGCACGCATTAATTTTAAAGGTGCTAATGTCTTCATTTTTATCATGAAAAACAGCCGCCAGAGAATCATTACTAATGGAGAGTATATCCGTGTCGTTTATTTCTTTTTCGATTGCATCCCTCATGTCAATCATTCTTTTTTTCTCTCGTTCGTGTATTGTGGACAGAGTAACATTTAAATCGCTCTGGAAAAACCTTTTGAGGAGGTCCACATTTTCACATAATTTGAGGTATCTATATTTTGGGTAGTTACAGAGGTTTAAGGATCTCAAACTGTATACATTTCTCGAGGTATATAATTTCTTTATACGGAAATAGGCCTGTTGATCGTAATTGCAAAATTTTGCAATAAAGCTAAGTTCGATATCTTCGTTTTTCTCAAACAGACAGGTGTTTACATCGTCCAGGTTGTTCAAATAGTCTTCCACATCATTATACGCTGATCCTTTAATTACAAATTCCACATACTGTTTATTTTCGTAGATGTTGTTGTACATGGAAATGGATCGAAAGGCTTCATTAAGAGTCATGGTACGTCTAATGTTTAGATAGATACCATGATAGGTAACATACGCTTTTTCTATATCTTGAATGCTGTCATTGCTTGCGCTATCATCATTGCTTTCCACAAGTGTAACGTTAGCGGAATCAAATGTGGTGAGGTCTCCTACTTCTTCGTTCACTTCAAGTTCGCGTTCGTTGCTAATAGCTGTATTTTCAATGTTGTACATGGCACTGAGTTTATGTTTCATATCGCTGAAGGTTTTGTTTTCTTGAATAAAATCTTGTACCTTTTTTATTTCATTTTTTAATTTCCCAATACGATCACTTTGGTACTTTTTAAAAGTCTTATGGTTAAGAATGTATATTTCGTTTGTAATGTATTGGAAGGAATTGAGGTTGGAAAAAGTTTTTAAAAAGTTGGTATATCTGCACATATATTCATATATGACATTTTCCTCGTGATCCAATTGGGCAGTATTAAGTAAAGGGAAGTTAATTTTTTTCTCTTTCTGTCTCCTCAGAACCACTTTATTAATGGGTAAGGAAAAGTTATTGAGAGTTCTGTGCAAACTACGATAAACATCCGCAGTGTTATTTTTACTAAATATAAAAAATTTTACATAATATGTTGACACAAACATGTTAAACAAATTTTGTATCAGGTTCATATTTATATTACCTGAGTATACGTGGAAGTCCTTCATAAAATTATCCTCATCAATATAATTTTGATTTCCTACATAAGTTAACCAGTTGTAGTATATAAATGGCTCCGCATCGTACAAAAAGTTCATGTCATTTTTGATCACATTCCTTTCGGTAAATCCGTTCATCGCCATATGTTTGTATATATCATAGGAGTACAACAAGAGCGCTGTCCTACCCGTACCCAATATAGAGTGAGGAGTATATACATTATTTTCTTGCACAAATGGTATGATGTAGTGTGACAAGAAAGGATTCTTGTACACTTGCCTATGAGGAATATAGGGCTGTGGTTTTTGATCATAATTTATAATTTCATTCAAATAGGACACGAATCTTTCCAACGCGCTATACTTAATTTGGGAACAAACATTATTCTTCTTTATATACTCAAAGAATGCATAATTGTTTGAAACGTTAATATCTGATAAGTGGACTGGGACACTAAATGTGCGGTGGTGGTACTCATTTCTAAAGTTCAAAATGTAGTAGCTTAGAGACCTCATGTACATTTGGGAATGTAACCCTAAGCTGGTGTGTAAACTCATAAGTTCATCATTGTCCAAATCGGAGTAATAATTCACATTTTTAAAATGAGTGATTAAAGAACCTATATCCTTTTCATAATTGTAATTAAGCTTTTCATGTACAGCTAGTAGGCATAATAATCCTGGATTCACCACATGTAATAATTCTTGTGCATCCCTTGTTTTTAACAGTTTAGATCTCAAAAAGGAAGGCACATTTTGTAACATAAATCTGTACTTCAATAACTTCTGATGACCCACTCGTATGTCTTCCATGTTGGATACAATACCGACAAGGGGAGGTGCCGTAGAGGATATACTTAACAAGTTAATTTTTTTATTTAGCAAGTAGGTGTGTAATCTTTTCAAACATCTATTCGATGCTTTTTTTCTTTTTTTAGACCATTTTCTTGGTTTCAGGGAGAAAACAATTTCATCATTCTCGAATTCATTCTCTTTTTCTTCATCATCATCTTCTTCATCTTCTTCTTTGCCTTTCACTAGTGCTCCACTCGTTCCTGGTTGAGTCACCAATTTGTCGATGGAGCTTTTGCTTCCTGCCCCTTGGTCAGCACTAGTGCTAACCTGGGGAAGAACGTCATACTTGACATTATGGTCATTAAATATGTCGTCAAAATCATCCTTTGTGTTTTTTTTATTATTTGCGGCTTGAAATGATTTATACAAATAATATTTGTCAATTTTAAAATATGGATCGTTCCTATACTGTATGTTGCTTTTGTCCGTAATTATATTAATATCCTTTAGTGTTAGTTTGAAATTGTCTTCCAGAATGGCTAGCACTTCCCTCTCATATGAAATATTTAACAAAGACTTATCCACCAATTTCCAGATTTCATTATCTAAAGTAAAAATTAATCGAACTACATTGGCACCGTAACAATGCGAATGGATAAAAACATCGTAATTATAACAGGTATCATCTTCCAGCATGTTTTTAAACGTTATGGCCATTCTATTTGACAAAATATAAGCGTAATTAAGATGTGTGTATAGCCCCTCTGAGCCTACAACATTTGAAAGGCTAACAAATGGGGTATAAATAATATACTTGCTGTATTTTTTCTGTAACATGGCTTCGTGTTTGTTTATATTCGCTCCTGCACTCCATATTTTGTAATCATTCGAATTTCTTGAATTTGGTCTCCCATGGATTAACACATTTATAGCACAATTAAATTGCTTCTTTTCAAATGTTTTGTAATTTTTTATATTCTTATATCTTTCCTTTTTATATGCATTGTATTCTTTCGTCTCGTAAACGTAGTATTCGTCGATGCATCTGATGAAGTCCCCATTGAAATTCGGATGCCTCAAATCTATAAATGGGTTCGTCTCCAACTGGTATAACCTCCATTTTTCATCAATTTCGTTTTCGTCGTACGAGTTCTGCGAAGTGAACAAAAGGAAAAACATCATGTAAAATGTGAAATGGAACATGGGACCAGGATAATCCATACACAAAAAGGGTAGAGACTCATACAGATTGCGTGGGCGCGTTAACAACACACACTACTTACATTAACATTGTCAGAACTTTTTCCCGGCGCTTCTGTACCTATCGCACTTGTACCATAATGAATTAGCAAAAGGAAACATATGATGACATGATTCATTATTTTTTTTTCGTGGATACCGTAATATAACTTTGTAGGGTGTGTAGTGCCTAGGTACCTATTTCATTAATGCAGGCAAAAAAAAAAAAAAAAAAAAAGTTACAATAAAAAATAATGGGGGACCCCACACATGCGCATGCATAGATCTGAGCACGGGCGGGTAAAATGTGACGAAGTCCTGTAAGCAAATTGGCCTGCATGTGTATGTGTGCGTATGCACTGCTTTATGTACGACGTGCTTATCTATGTATACACATGTATATGTCACAGGGAAGCGCGTTGAGGCACTTAAGGACCTCCTGTTCTACACTTCTTACGCACGAATCACGCAACAAACGGGGGTGGAAACGGTATGAGTTGGATACACATAATACTCATAATGGGATGAAAAACAAAACTTTAATTAAAGAGAACCGCGGCCGCGTGCGTGAGGAGTTGTAAATCTACAGCAGCGGTGTGAAGAAGAGGGGAAGGAGGAATAAACACAAAAAAAAAGCGTACACTGAAAATTTGCACACGGCAAAAATTCACACAGACAAACTGTGACATCAAAACTGTGATAGCACAAAGCGCGTAACACGAAACCAGCAACGGTCTTGTGGGCTGTGCATAAGAAGGGGTACTAATAAGAAGTAGGCTAAAGTAGATACACAAAAATATCTGCAGGAATAGGAAAATCTACAACAAAAAGTTTACCCTACAGTTAGTTAAAAGCTAAAAAAATGTGAACACAGCGACATTTTTCAGTACTACAATCTAAAATTTAAGTGATCTAAAATATGGTAGAATAAAAAAAAAGGAAATATATATTATGGTATCCAAATTGAGGTTATCTCTTAGAGATTCGAACACAAAAAAAAAAAAAAAAAAAAAAAAAAAAAAAAAAAAAAAAAAATGTATAAATTTTTAACCCAACTGTAACTACAGTGTAAAAAAATCTTCAAATTACAAACAAACCAATGTGACACAGGAATGCGTTGTGTCCTTAAAGAGTACTTACATGTATTAAGGGAGATGGGTTCTATTTAAAAAAACAAAACACAAAGCTAGTAGAAAAAAGATATATTCATGCAAATATATTTGTAAATATGTATATGAAAATGTACACGTAAATATTAAGCAAATGTATATGTTGTATATTATATAGGTAATAGTATATGGGTTCGAACAAAACAATGCGCGAACTTGATATATATGTAATATGCAACTGAATGGTGCAAATAAAGTTCGCACCAATTTACACGAATAAATGGGTAAACAACGCTTGCCGAATACGCACTGGAAAATAAAACTATACGCGGTGTTGTGCTATGTAACTCCTATTTTATGGTACGCCACGAACAAGCAGGATTTTGCACTTTTCATTTTTCTCTTCCTTGTTGCATCTGCTTAAGGAATTGATCTACTCATACAAATAATGTACAAAAATTTTCAAAAAAAAAAAAAACCCAAGAAATGTATGCATCGAATAAATATGTTCCAAAAGAAATGTCGACATGAAATATGGAGGGGGGGGGGTGCCATGTCAACATAATATAATATTTATATACGCATCATGAAGCAGCCCCTTCATATCATACATTTGACATGCACGTGTTGTGTACATATTGGGCATGGCTTCGCGTATACACTTATTTTGTACATGCACAATGGCTCGCGCATATATGTATACCCAAGCCCGTACTCAGTATGCATGAAAATATACAGTGCGCGAAGAAACATTGTCCATCTGACGCAAAAAACCCCGCATATGAGAACATTCACAATGGAGCATTTAATTTACTGCATGCATACACAGAATTCTTGGCGTTAAAATAAATGTGGGGAAGGAAAAAAAAACCCTCACGTTATTAATTTATTTTTGAAGCCCGATCATTGAAGTAGATGCTTCAAAAAAAAAAAAAAAAAAAAAAAGTTAACACACAGTATGTATTTGCTTCAAATGTAGTTTGAAATTTTACTTTTTTTTTTTTTTTTTTTTTTTTTTTCTCGCTTTTGCGTTCCTGGTGGAAGCGAAAAGTCACACACTAGTGCATGTATAAAGAATCCACGGGGATGTAGCAAAAGAGGAAAAACAGAAATACGGAAAAAAAAACAAAAAAAAACAGCACTAAACTTTTCACAGAATGGTTAAGCGTTAATGTCATGCACGTTCAATATAGCAATTAAAATGCATAGTGGCGAAATATGAATGGGTCCACATGTACACATAAAAAACATGGCCATTGAAAATTTACGCGCACCATACATATATAGTACATAAAAAAGTTACTAAAAAAAAAGGAAAAGAAAACAAAAGAGTCCACAGTAAAATGATGTGCTGATGGAAGGCACTGGTGTACCACGCTGTGAGCACAGTTTTAAGCTGCAGTAGGCTATTTTCTTGCGTTCCTTTTTTTTTTCTCTTCACAAAATATGCGGCAAAAAGCGAAGAAACACACTGCGACACACGCTGCAACATACACGCTATCAATCGCGAGAGTGTGTAGCTTCCCTTCGCCACTCTAATTTTGATTAAAAATAAAGAAGTCAAGCGAAGGGAATATGAATATTACATCGTATGTGGCGTTGTTTCCTGCACATGCGCTATTTTGTGAATGTAGTACACTTACATAAGATTTATGTACATAAAAATGTGAAGGTCTGTAATGGTACGTATGCAATGAACACACTGATAATAGATATGAGTACATGCAATTGCCTCAAAGGAACATGGAGAACACAAATATATATTAAAAAGGAAAAGTGTTCCTTTGCGCAAACAGTTTGTGCGCTCAGTACACGGTAATCAACACGTGGAGTGAGCGCAGCTGTAATCTGCTTGGTACATGGAAACACCAAAAAAAGGGGGAGCGTCCAAACGCGGAACGGTAAAATTCCAAATGATTGATGAAATATTTACCGTTTGCAAGTACTTGTCAAATGCGATATTTTTTTTAAAAAAAGTTTTGCACAGAAATAAATGTACATTTCTTTTGTCTTGAAAATTGTTTCCTGTCCAAATGGCGAAAGTCATGTCACGTTTATCACGCAATTATTCGTAACATGGAATTCTTGCGCAATTTCGTTAATGAGCGAACGGTTTGTGCATTTTTATTTTGAAAAAACGCGTGGGGAAAGTGTTTTCGTTTTGTTCGCGAATGTGCAAATGGAAATTCGTGGGAAAGTTTAACAAATTTGAAAATTTTCAGGTAAAAAAAAAAAAAAAAAAACACAAATGCGTTATATATATATACACATATATATATATATATATATATATATAATAACATGCATACACACATGCCCGCATAATGCATATGTTCATACATGTGTATACACCTGTATAGCACGCACCTGTTCCCGCTTCGTCCACCGAAATACGCACGTGCGGAGGCAGGGGAAAATGAAAAAAAACGCAAAAAAGAAAACACGCATTTGCGTATTCAGCAGATGTGTTTAAATAGGGAAATTAAAAAATGAAGAAAAAACAATTTTTCCAAATTGTTGAAAATAACGATTTGTCTGCACAGCCCGAAAATTCGTCACTTGATTTGTCCGCTCTGTCCGAAACTTCGTCGCTTCATTTATCATCTGCACGGTCGGAAAAATCGCCGCTTAATTTGTCAGCGAATTCCATTGTAGACTTTGATAAGTCGGAAAAAAAAAAAAAACTCAATTTAAGTGAAACACAGCTTTCTCACAATTCGCATGATATTTTTAATAATGTCACCAAGAGGAATGCGTTAAATTTCTTAGGTTTGCATAATAAAACAAAAAATGTTCATAATTTCCAGGGGAAAAATGATGGACGTGAAAAGAGCATTCACGATCCACATGTGAAAAGTGTGAACCATGAGGTGGTTCATACCCCTGGAATAAATACCCAAGGTGTAAAATATGAAAATGGTCAGTGTATACCAAATGAGTTGTCACCATGCACGGTGAAGTTTACGCCTCCAAATGAGGGTGACAACAGTGGGGACAATGCGCGCGGTGAGGATGGCCCTAGTACACCCCTTAGCAGGGGTAACTATGAAAGACAAAACAAACACAACAACCATTTTTACTGCTTGAAACAAATTATTCACAACAATTTATATAATAACTACGACAAAAGTGAGGTGAAAATTTTCAACATTTATCATGATAATAGGGCAGATTGTTTATTTAATGATGCAAGTGTAATAAAATTTTATGGACATGAAAATGTATGCATATATGAAAATAACAGCTACATATGTGAGGAAATAAACGCTAACTTGTTCCATCAAAATGGGCACACAGAAAAGGAAAAAGAAGACTGTTTTGACGCACATACGGACATTTATGAATATTTGTACAAGGAAAAAATGAAACTGAACAGTGCAAATGAAAAAGACAAGGGGAATTATGTTCAGAATGGGATAATAACGAAATCTGGCCATTCTCACGAGCAGGTGCAACAGTGTTTCCAATTTTATATGCACAAGTATCCACCTTTCTTAAGGGAAAAAATAAAAATATTCATACATTTATATAACATGTTTAGCATATACCCCTACATCAATCACAAATTTGTTGAAGAAGAAATATATTCGAGAAATTTAAAAATTTCCTCGTCCTTTGAAAAAAATGTGCACATAAAATGGCGTTTTTATGGTGAAGATGAATTAAGAGAAATGCTAAGTCGCGCTGTGCTAAATAGAACAAGGGAACACTCGTTGCAGGAAAGTTTTTTCCAGGTGGACGATTACATCGGTGTAAATTTTTTAACTCAAGAAGTAAAAGTGCGCGATGCGGGTCTCCTAAACCATGGTGATGACGCAAATAATCACTCCAACTACATTCTTCTAAACGGCAATGGGCTGTGCTTTTCTGCTTACTACCATTTAATCGTCCCGTACCACAGGCACATTAACGAAAGCGCAAAGGAGGTGGACAAAAAGAATAGTGATTACAATTTAAGTTATGAATATGTCTACCTGTCGCAGCTATTTAACATTTACGATAATTTTCACGTGTGCTTTTTGTATCCCTTATTTGTCTCATACTTTTTTTATTACCACTTATTTTTCAAGGGAGATGGTTGCGCGAGTGCAGCTCCTCCTCCTTCGCTTTCACCTGCAACAGAATTATCTGTCTCAGAAAGGAAGGGTCCGCAAGATGGGGCCTATAACAGCGCCTGCGAGGAGGTTTACACAAACCAGATAAGCGACATATATACCAAATTGACGAATTGTGTGAAGCGAACCATTTCGAATACGGAAAGTGGGAATTTCAAGATCAAGGACGGTGTCATTGAATTTTTAGTTCCACAGAGTTGTTACAAAAATTGTGAGGAACCGGAGTTTCTCGCGGACAAATCTCACCACCTACCCCTGCTCTACGTCGTATGCGTAAGTAAGCACAGCGTGGGAGGTGTTAATTATGGTATCCACCATAGTGGTAACGATAATAGCGCGTGGAGAGCACGTGTAGAAAACAATCTGATTACCTTCCCCTCGAAATCCGCAAGCGTAAGCTGCTACCAGGAGTATGGTCACACACACCCCATGCACACCCCGGGGGGTTATTCTAGTGATAAGGCCCTGTATCAAACAAAGGCATACGGAAAGCAGTGGGCGTGGGAACCCCACGACAACAACATATGCTGCAATGAAATTAAAGAATTCAACACCTTGCGAACAATTTTCCCAGAACATATGAAACAGTATTTTAACACATGCAACAAAATTGATAACATCATAAAAGTTAGCGTAAGGAATGATGGTGTGTGTTTTATGTATATAAGGAACATCCTGAGTGAGTATATTTTCTTTTCGTATTTCATCCTATTTAACGCGTTGGAAAATCTTGTTCACTTAATGAATAAGGGGACGGACGGTGGAACTCATGGGGGGAAACACTGGGGAAGCCTTCATCAACATGGTGGGGCTGCGGGGTATAACAAAGCAAGTGGGGGTTTACTCAATATGGATCCTATTCAACAGTGCGGCAATTTGTATAACAATATTTTTGAGGGCCCCCCTGTGTGCTATCATAGAAATCTGGAACACCGTGAAAACGAAGCAGTCGCCTTTGCAAACATCGACCATACATTCGAAATGAGCAACATAAACAACATTTACAACGACTTGTACATTTGCGAAAATAAAAAAATGAACACCTTTAAGCTAATTAACATAATGAATAGGGAAAAGAAAAAAACATTAACTGCGTATTATTTCGAGAACAAGGAATTAACGCCGATTTTCTTTTTACGTTTGTCCAACATACATATTTATGACATAAACAGACAACTGAATTCGGTTTTTGAATATATAAATTACAATAACAAAACTTTTACCCCTTTTTTAAAAAAGTACGCAAAATACGAAATGAATGTTCAGCTCGATTTGCTAGAAAATATGTACAACATTAACAACGAATTGTATTTGCTGTATACAAAAAAAATTAATTACTCTCACGATATTTACAAATATAATTACCTGTACGTACAGGATTATTTATTAAAAAATTACATCCTATATTACAATATTTATTTTCGGGTACGTGATGAAATGAAAAAGAATGAATACTACAAGCTGAAATACACCAACAGGAATAAACAGACCATATGTGTCCACTTCACCGTTTCGTGTAATTTTGTCTATGATAGGGTGAATTCTCATTTTGAGCTGAAGCCAAGTCATTATATAACACACCTCGAGTCTGAATCCCCCCCCGAACAAATTGATGTGGCAAATTACGTTGCGTTTATTAGCAAGTATGTGCACAGCAAATACGTAAAGTGAGGCACGGTTGCCACATCGGCACGTGTGTCTTTTGCGACAGTGTGCATTTCGTGAAGAGATCCCTTGAGAGGCCCTCCCGTTGGGCTTTACCATGCGTCCACAGCGACTGTATGGGAACTGCACGTGCGTTAATTTTTTGGTCCCTCACAATGGAGGGAAACATATTCACCGCCATGTTGCGTAGCCTTTATAACAATAACCTAATTACAGTCATTTTTTTTGTTCACACTTTTCCTACCTGTTTTACAATCGTTAGAGGGGATATATAATTCTTCTTTCTCGTGCACTTATTACTTATATGGTACGGCAAAAAATATTGGTAAAAGGTTTTAATATATTTATTGTTTAACTGTCCTTTTTTTAAAAACTGCAAGAAGCAGTATTTAATCCAAAAGTACATTTTTTTTTCCTTTTTCTTTTTCTGCTTTTTGATAAAATTGTGTCGCACGAGTTGGCATAACTGCAGGTTTGTACTTTTCGATTTGGCTGCGTAAGAAATTTGCAGTATGTCTCTACCCTTTGCTGAGTGTGTCTTCTTCCTCCTCTTTCCCAGTGGCCTTTCTGCATTCCCGTCCGGATGACCACCAACGCAGGTGTCCCTTTCAACAGGAGTACTCCTCTCAACGGGGGTACGCGTGCTTTGCTGGACGCCTGTGTTGCGGCGCCATCTTGTGACCCCGAGCAGAAAAAGGTTCACATTTTTCGCATCGGTCAACTCACTGCGTCTCCAGAATATAATATCGTACACGTGTGTGTAGGCCACCTGGGTGAGCTGCATGTCCTCATTTTTCGACTGTGTCAAGAGGTACAAAATCAAACATAAATGTTTCATATAGCTTGATGGCTTGAAATATTTATGTATCTCTTTACAAATGGCTGATTTTATTTTATGAGATTGTTTAAACTCATTTAGGAAGTCAACAATGTTGCATATGTCTACATCGTTAAGCTGATTGTAGTGCTGGAGTTTGTTAAAAATGTCCAGTATAATTGGTAGGCACTTTTGTAAAAGTTGTTTTTTCTCCTGCATAAGGAGTAACTGATTTTCCTGTGTAGAGTACTCCATTCGGACATGATCTTTTGGCCTGTTGAAATGGATCTCTTTTTTTAGCCTCCTTTTATACAAAGAAATGCACGAAATTAAAAACGTAAAATTTTTTATAAAATAATTTATATTGTTTTCCCCACGCATCATATTTATTATATCCTGGAAAAACATTCTTTCGTACATGTCATTGAAGGCGTCTTTATTCATAAAAATGACTGATAAAATTTTGATTACATATTCGTAAAAAAAAGTTTTGTCCATTGTTTCAGGGCCATCTCCACACTTTACTATTTCACACAGCACTTGCTGATAAAATGTGCCATTTTGTTTCATCTTTTTGTGCAGTGCGGGGGATTTTAAAAACTCCAACGTTAATTTTAAAAATAAATTTTTACTTATATTGTTATAAATTGAAACGTAACAGTAAAATAGTTTGTCCACTTGATAATTGGTAGACATATTTTCATTACTTGTTTGGCCAGTCATATTTGCACCTTGCTGTTGCTGCAATTTGTGCACACATTTTAGCAGCCTGAAAACTGTTGCGCTTATATCGTAGGTGTAAAAATTTCCATCCATTCGTTCGTGACATAAATTGGCGGTATGGTTGAAGGGCGTGCATAAATTTAGGTCTTTCCCTTTGTAGTGCTTTTTCTCTTTGTTGTTACTGTACCCTGTGTTCGTGTGAGTGTGTTGGAAGTACCTCCTCCCTGTGTCTATGTTCGGAGTTGTCCTCATCATTTTACTCCTTTCATATTTGACCGCTCCATCCAAGGGGCGTCTCAGAAACCGCAGGTGCCCAACACACGCGTAGTGCATGTGCGTCTTGAGGTATACGTATCGATCTGTTTAAATGAGCAAGCGTATTCCTGCGCGCTAGCAGCATGATGTTTCCCCGCCCCTGTTATGTACCCTGGCTTATGGCGCATTAAAGATGCTTTCCCTTTTCTTCCCGCACTACGACCTCGCATAAGGACATGAAACTGCAGAAAAAAAAAAAAATTTCCACCTCTGTTCTCACGTTGTGTTAATCTGGCATATGTCCCTTTTACACGTAAAATGGGAGTGAAACATAAACTATGAAGTAGCAGCAAAAGATGCAGGAACAGCCGTTCCACATTTTTTTTTTTTGTTTTTTTTTTTTCACCCTCCCCCGGTTCATTTGAAAGCGCACAAGGCTACTGACACCCCTGCGACTTTACAGAGGTTTAGGCGAAAAATTCCAAATGTGCATAAAATTGCCCTAAAAAAAAAAAATCGCACAATTGCATGAATGTGTTTGTATGTTTATGTGCAGGAGGTACGGCTGAGCTCCCGCGCACACATTAAAGTGCCACTATCAGGGAGATTACCCTAGTTGCCTTCGTATCGCTTAAAATGGCATGTTAGGAGAACTACAGAGCGCGCGCAGAAGCAATAGCTTTCGCATTTGGTTTTGACCGACCTGTCGTCGTAAAAATGTCACAATGATTTTTACGAGAGTATTCTTGCTTCCGGCATTCCTGGTGTACAGCGTATCTACTTTTGTCAAGCGCAACCTCCCCGATAGCAACTATGTGAGCACAGCTAAGCTTGAGAAAAAGGAGAGCAACCAAGTTGTTCCTAGGAACGACGGCCGTGAGGGCAGTGGTCATGTTGCACAGCAGATCGGTTGAAGGGGAAAAAACGAAACGATACAAATGCAACCAAGCCTTTGTGTTAACGGAGGCATTGTGCCGTAGCAATGATCCGATAATGATGGCATGCCTTCCCCTTTTTGCGCCCCACTTTGTCAGATATACACGAAGACAGACCGTTTCAGGAAAAAAAGGAAAAAAATCAACTACAGGCTGCGTAAGAGCAAAGATGAAGATATCGATAGCTGCATTCCACACATATACAAGGACATTGCGCCCTCCCTGAAGGGTCTAGCGGATGAGGTATTAATGCATTTGTGTGCGTACATATGTGTATACCAATGCTTATCCATTTGTCCAATTCGCCCTGTCGTTGTTTAAACATACATCGTAGTGGGGACCCACATGAAGTTGCCTCTTCACTGATGGGATTTGCGCCAAGGTGATTGGTTCCCCAAGGAGCATATTCATCTGGGCAAACACACATAACCATCGTTTCTACTCTGTACTCTCCCCCCCTCCCACTTCCTCCCCCGTAGGAGTACTCATACAAACAACTGCTGCATGCGTACTTCCCCGAAACGGTTGAAAGAGAAATAGAAAAAAAAAAGGAAAAGGAATTAAAACAAAAGAATGAAGAAAGCGGGACATCTAAGAGTAGTGTGCAGGAGAAAGACGTTATGGATGGTGAAAAGGACATGGAGGAAAAACTAATACAAAATGACCTAACAAATTTTGAACATATAAGTAAAATAAGTGATCACAAGAAAAAAAATAAAATTTTAGACATCGCATATGATAGTATTGAAGATTCCCTGAGAGATACTTACGTGCGCATGAAGGAAGGTGTGGCAGACGAGCAAGAAGACAAAAAGGATTATCTAGAAATTGCAAAAAAGGAAAAGGACATGTTGTACGAAAAACTGATATGTGGGTATTCCCCCCTGAATAATAGCAGTACGTTCGATTTGTTCGGCGTTTTCTACGATAGTAAGGACTATGCGGACGGAAAAAAACTATTGGCAGAGATGAACAAAATGTTAAATTTGGAGCCGCTTAAAAGCAACAGGGGAAACATATTGCAAACAGTTGACACGCTTTTAAAGAATGACAAACTGCCACCGCACATAAGAAAATTTTTGGTCAAGTATAGGCACCTTGCTCAGAAGGTTTCTGGGACACGGGAGGACAGAAGCCCTGTAGATGTTCCTCCGGAAGGGGGAAAGGACGCACTGCGAGGTGAGAACGCCCACGATAAGCGGAGAAAACGGGATGATACGCAGGGACAAGGGAGGGAAGGCAAAAATGAGGAGCGCCTCGAATTTGGCGATCTGGATAAAGAAGTCGATGTGGGAAAGGAAATAAAAAAAGAAGACTTCCTCAAAGATGTTAACAAAGTTATTATGACCTTGCACAATAATTTGAACAACGAAAAATTAATGAGAAGGGACCAATATTTTGTCGACGAGTTGTACGACGCTTATAAAAGACACGTACGGAGTATGCACGTAAAGAGAAACAAACTGGAACCGCAAAAAAACAACTACGACTTTTTAACCTTTTTCCATGAGCATTATGAAGAGTACTATTTTTTTAAGTATGGAAATTTCGACTACAATTTTGAAGAAAGCGTGCAGAATGTTAAGAGTAAGATGGACAGTGAAAAGGGTTTAGCTGAGGGTGAACAGGCAGCTCAGTTGAGCCAAGATAGTGGGAAAGGACCCCCAGTGGAGAATGAACAGATCGGAAGAGATAAACCAAGTGATTTAGATATGTGGGTTAGAAATGTGTCTGAAGCTACTCAGAGCAGTTATAATGAGGATGAAGAAGGGACAAAGGCAGGAAAAAGGAAAAATCCAATCGAGCAGTGTTCCATCCTGAAAGGCATAAAGGAAAATAAAAAACTGAGAAAACATATAATGTTGGATATAATTGCTAATTACCAAAAAAGGATGTACGATATTTATAAACCAAATAACGTAATCACGAATGCATACGGGTTTAATAATTATATAGACAATGATCAATATGAAAAAGAAATTAATGCGGCCTTTAACAAGTATAGTATAGTAAACTACGACAGTAAGGAAGACTTGAATAAGGTGGAGAAATTATATGTAGGAAAATTAATATTTGGGAAAATATTTAAAATCGAAAAAACGTTTGCATATGTTGATATAAATTACGCATTTTACGCCGAATTACACGAAGATCAAATGCCGTACAATATTAAGAACATAAAAGATGTATTTAAAGTGAATGACAAATTAATATTTGAAATATATAAAATGTACCCAGACAAAATTTTACTGACTCTGAAAAATATACAAAAGGTTAATGACCTTAATAAAATTTTACATTACAAGACGCAGGACATACCTTTCGATGTGAAAGTTGTGACAATTTTAAAAAATGGAATAAGCGTTTCGTATAACGATATTTACGCATTTATCCACATTTCTGCTGTGTCCAATAAGTACAAAATTAAAGTGGAAGAAAATGAAAAAATCCAGGAATCGTTACTTAATCAAAGAATTAAAGTCATGTGTACAGATATTAACAAATTAAATTTTTCCAATTTAATATATGAACAAAATGAGCAACTAAAAAAATTGAATATTTACGATATTGTCCATGTGGAAATTATACACATTTCGAAATATGGTCTTATGGTAAAATGCGACGATATAGTTGGACTGATACACATTTCCGAAATTTCCAAAAAAAAAATTGAAGACTTGAATGAGGTTTTCAAAATAGGGGACCAATTAAAAGGCATTTTAATAAACATAGACTATGACAACAAAAGATTTTCCTTGTCTACCAAAATTTTGGAAACGGAGGGCCGAAATTTTATTGACAACAGGGACCAGATATATGATAATTTGGAATACATTTTGGACGACATTAAGAAGAGGAACACCTCCTTGCGAATTAACGATTCCAATATTAAAAACCAGTTGCTTTCCCTTATTGATATTTACAACACGGAGGAGGTCGACTCGAAGTCCGATGGCCAGACTGGTACCTCCCCCGCAGCCGATGCGGATGCCGACCGGGATAAAGCAGACCTGGGCGCAACTGATCGCAGTGATACTCCTCACAGCGAACCGATCACGAAAGGGGATAATGACCCAGGACGTGATACACAACAACACACCGCAGAAAAGGGCCACCCACACCAACCGATCGAACCCCCTTCCACAGATCTACACGCAGAGAGAGATCAAGTGAAACGTGCAGATGGGGATAACAGAGAAACGGAAGAGGATCACTTTAGTGACGACCCCGATGAAGCAGAAGAGGAGAAAAAGGAACTTACCATCGACATAAACAACCAGTTTGTTCCCTACCTGATGTTGAAGCAGGATGAGATAGCCAAGGAGGAGGAAGACGAGGAAAGTGTCTTGGGAAAACCCAGGTACAACACAGTTACGCGGATTACACCGCGCATGCGTAAGGGCATGTGCTCATTTGAGCATTTGATCGCGTCTAACATTGGGGCGAATTGAACAAACATACAGACGAGTGGTACATTTTTTTTTTTTTTTTACAATTTCCAGAGAGATAATTTGGAACATGGAGGATGAAGAATTTCTGAATTCCAACTCCCCAACGCAGAGTACCCAATGTAAGCAAGAACTAGCGGGCGTAAAAAAATATGCCACATCGTATATGTGATGTGTAACTGCATGTCCGCCTATTGGGCTTCCATTAGAAGTCGCCCCCCACGAGACCTAACGCCCCACTCACAACGTTATTTATATTTCTCCCCTTTGCAGTTTTCGAATATCAGTGGTCCTACTTAAAGGATAAGAAATGGGTGAACTTTTCCTATTACGTGAACAGAATTATGAATTACTATTTTAACATTAACGATGATTTCTTTACGTACAAGGAGAAGAAGTAAGTTCGCGCAAATAAACAACGCGTCCCCTGGACATGTAGGAGAGCGTTGTCCACACAAACGTAACCGCAGTCGGTTTAGTAGTCCTATTACACTGTTCTACAATTTCTAAAACTGCCCCCTTTTTTTTTTTTTTACTTGCCCCCGGCAGCGTGGTGTACGAGATCGATTTTGTGAAAAGTGTAAGAATCGATTTGGCCACAGGTCTTCAGAACAGGATTAGAAAAATCGCCAAGTAGAGAAGCAGCCATGTTAACAGTTTAACAAAAACAAGAAAGAAAAAAAGAATATGCAAGAGTTAAGTGTGCATTTTAAGGGGTTGCTGCATTATTGGATAGGTGTGGTTCCCTTGAGACTGCTGACCCGGTGTAAAAAAAAATTTTTTTTTTCGTTAATATTCTATTTCTTCATCCAAATCGGAGTCCTCATATTCGTTTTCGTCGTCATACTCTTGCTCATCGTTGAAGTGGATATCCGGCTGCAAAAAATAATTTATGATTTGTTTAAGCATTTGTCACTGTGGCCGCCACATTGGGCGGGCGTATTTATGTGCACACCCCAGCACATGCATATTGGCATATGCACACTTTGTGTAATTTTTCATTTTCAATTTTTTTTTTTTT